TTGGACAGGTGTATCTAGTGGTCGGTGAGTGTATAAACTCAACTTAACCTTTTTCTGCATTCTAACAGACTCCACTTCACCTAATGTATATTTACAATCGATAAACTATCTCAAAGCTAAATAAATAAATAAATAAATAATGACATTTTAGAACAAGTGGTCAGTGGGTAGCACACTCGCCTCACAGCAAAAAGTCGCTGATTTGAAGCCCAGTTGGGTCAGTTCTTGTTTTTGTGTGGAGTTTGCATGTTCTCCCAGTGTTTGCGTGGGTTTTCTCCGGGTGCTATGGTTTCACAAGTCCAACGACATGCGGTACAGGTGAATTGGGTAAGCTAAAAATGTCCATAGTGTATGTGTGTGAATGAGAGTGTATGGTTGTTTCCCAGTGATGGGTTGCAGCTGGAAGGGCATCTGCTGCGCAAAACATACAGTATACCGGAGAAGTTGGGGGTTCAATCCAATGTTGCGACCCCAGATTAATAAAAAGACTAAGCCAAAAAGAAACTTGAATGAATGAATGAGAAAGAGTGCTAGTGGGTGACTCTGCACATAACTTAGATGCTCATTTTATATTAAGATACAGTATTTAATTATATTAAGATTATTTATATATTTTGTTTAGAAGGTCCACAGTAGCTCTTGACTTGGGTTAACAAACTTTACCATGAGTTAACAAGAGGCTTGAAATTGTCCTATTTTGGTAGACAAATGATTCAAAAGTCTCATTGTGCAACAATTTATAACAATATGTGTCCTGGAAATGTCAGAAATCTGACAGCTGCTAAAAAAAAATGAACATTGGTTTTTAAATTACTTTTCAAAATCAAAAAGTCCCTAAATTAGCAGTTTGCCAATAAATACTTGACTCATAAAGTTTAAAACTTATAAAACGTCCTCATAAATATCTCAACTAAAACACAAATTTCTTGCTTGCTTTTCTTGCTCTTCTCTGTCTTACAGTAGCTGTCCTGAGGGAGCAGGCAACTGCTGGAAGTAGTAAACATACAAAAGTGATAATGAGATGTAGCAAAGCATTTAAGCCGAGCTGATTGTCTCCTTTGGGTCTGTAAGAAAGCATGAACACAAATTGAATCTGTTCTCGTTTAATGTCCTAAAAAAACTACAAAACTAACTCCCAAATCACCTAATAATCTACTTTTTAATTCTCAGTCCTTAAATGAACAAATAGTCAGACAAGGTGAAAACGTGACAAGGTGAAAACAGACAAGGAACAAACAACTATTTACTGACAGTTCAAATTATTCTATACATAGTGTAAGTTATCAAAAAGTCAAATTTAAAGTAGGCAGTAATTTTACTTAGTGTTATATGTGATATATTGTCAGTGATTTTCCAGTAAAGAATGAGTGCTAGTGAGTGACTCTAAACCAAAATATGGTATCAGATGATTAATTCATTATTGTTAGACGGTCCAAAGCAGCTCTTGACTTGGGTTAACAGACTTTACAGTAAATTAATAAAGAGATTGAAAATGTCCTCTTTTGGTAGACGAGAGAGTGAAAAGTCAGGGAAACATTTTATAGAGACTGAAGGCATGCCAAACTGGACATTCCTGTCACACTTTACAATAAGTATCAATAAGTTAAGGAGCCCCTATTTTGCATTATAAAAGATCATATTTTGGTTTCGGAGGTCTCCAACAACAGGCTGATATGCATGCAAGTTAAAAAAAAAAAAAAAAAACACTTTCATTGTCTTATAATATGCATTCATTTTAACCTAATAATCCCAACGACTCCCATCTGATTTGTTCATCAATTCATTTGTTCTCAAAGCTACAGTGCAAAACAACATTACAAACTGTGAAACACTTTTATAAAGCTCGAGACAAATTCACATAAAAAAAAAAAAAACATTTTTACCTATCACCAGACACAATTAAATAGGAAAAACTATTTTACCAAGGACGAAACAAATTTACAATTACAGATTCCTTACGGACAGGGAATGTACCACACACCGGAAGTGACCTGGAATGTACCAATGTAAAAATGTTTTTCCAATGTAATAGTGTCTGATGATACAACTTTGTAATGTTTTGCACTTCCCGACCAGCGTACAAAGCCCTCCTTAGCACAAGACCAATCTGCACTGATTGGTCCGATGACCCAGCCTGTTGTGATTGGTCGACTGGGTTCAGCACAAGCCAGAGAGAAACGCCCAACACGCTTATAAAGTACTCAGAGTGCAGAGAATATGTGTGAGCCCAATGCAGGAATGCAATAAAGCAATGCAGCTAAACACCAGCATATTACTCAACTCTTAAACCTAACCCCAAGTAATAACAACGACACACATTCAGTATTAATTCATACAGTAGCAAAAGTTGAACTATTTAAAAAATGGACCGCGCCGTGATTGTGAGGAACAGCTGATGGTGGCCATAGCAAAAGCAAATGGCATTGCGTTTTTAATGTGAGCGTTCATGCTTTTATTGGGAACTGGTTCTACATATTTGGTGATGTACCGTATCAACGTCGATGCATTCAGGCAAAAGATCCAAACTCTACACATTGTTTTAAGCATGGTGCACTGTCAGATTTGGACCTCAGCTGGATGTTTTCATTCACTTAGTGCTTTGGTTACACTCTGCATGGAAGGTCATTTTTAAAAACCAATAATAGGGGCTCTTTAATGTAAGTTTATAAATTTACTAACATGATCTAAGAATGAACAATGCTTGTACAACATTAATTAATCATAGTTCTAACTAATCCATTCTAATTAATCATAGTTCAAACTAATGCATTACTAAAATCCAAATGCATGCTTGTTAATATTAGTTACCTCACTGTGAGTCAATATGAACTGCAGTAACAATAAACAACCTTATTTTTTATTAGCTAAAGTTAACAACGATGAATAAATAAATTAACAAAAGTATTGCTCGTTGTTTTTTCATGTTAGAAAATACATTAATAAAATACACTAATGTAACCTTGTAGTAAAGTGTTGCTGACATTCCTTATGACAAAGCACAGGACAAGTAAGACAAAACTGTTTAACTAACTAACCAATTAACAAATGAAATATTTTTCAAGCTCTAATATAGTATTTTTCTGCACTTTATTAATTCACCATAAAGTCTAATAACCTAAGACAAGAGCTACTTTTGACCTTCTAACTAAAATGAATTAATCATGATTATAATTAACTAAATAACAACTATGATTATATAATTATAATACCAAATATGTCCCAACACTCATTTCCATTCTCATTTATTCTGTACAACAAACAAACAATCAACTACAAACATTATAACGCGAATAATGCAGCATAACATTATAAATCCTTTTTTCATTTCTAATTTAATTTAATTAAAGTTTTAGGAATTTAGTTTTGCGTTTTTTTTATTTGTCATTATATTTTTGACTTTGGTTTTACTTAGATTAGTATGTCAAGTCAAACTTGGCAACTACAGTAGCTGGCATTATATGTTGTCTTATATTGTTAGTGACATTTATTTCATTTTAAGCAAAAAAAAAAAAAAAAGTTTTAGTTGGATGGTTTTGGCTTAACAATAACCCTCAAACTGTCAACTATGCTACAATTATATTACAATTGTGATATATTTGCCAAAATATTTATTTTCTCACAATAGACAGCTACTTCACTCTGCCAACAGACATTTATTTCATATTTATTAAATTTTTGGCCTAACAGACATTTGTTTTTACTCTCAAAAGTAGCAACCATATTTAAAGGTGAAAAAAGATATTAAAGGAAAACGGTTTTATATAAGTAAATTTAAAAAATTGTATGCATTTTAAGAATAACGCATGACCATCCAGGTTTGTAAAGACCTCCCAGTGGTCTTTTAGCCCATTTCCACTGAATTATTCAGTATGATATGGTACGGGTCAGGCTTGCATTTCCACTGCCAAAAGGGTAGGAATGATCCTTTTTTGGTGGGCATGGTTTATGAGAGAGAGTTTCAGTCGATGTCATTCTCATATGAAAAGCACTTCTCACAATACCGATGCTTTATACTCATAAATAAATGTGTATAAATGTTCATGAAATAGCCTACTGTAATGTCTGCAATTATATAAATGCAACATATAGGAACACATACAGACTCTTATAAGATATGTTACCCATTACAGAAAAACTACACACAACATGCATTTAGTCCTTATTCTGTTAAAAAAAAATGACACGCAATATATAGTCTACATTCAGTGCAAACCTTTCATCTGTAGCTCTGTAACCTCTTGTTAGAAAGTATTTCTATCTCTCCGAGTTCATAATAGTCATAAAGGTGATGATAAAAGTTAAAGATGGCAGTTTGTTCATGTTTTATGTTGCGGAAAAAAATAATTTGCTCCTGTCGAGCTTCTCCTTTGTTTTTTTTTTCGCTTCACTCTCACGCTTGTCCATTTCTGAAAGGATTGGATGTCATAATACCCTTTTATAGGTACCCTTTGCAAAGGGTAACCAAACCGTGGTACGGTACAGTTCACTTTTAGGTTCCTTTTGACAGTGGAAATGGCCATTAAAATGTACCAAACCATACTGTACCACTCAGTGGAAACTGGCCATTAGATAATAGAAATCAGGACATTGATGTACTGTGACTCGAGTCCCATACGAAAACAAGTTAAACAAATAATGCTACGGAACATAAGTCTGAAGGACAAACAAAGCATGGGACCTCATAAACTAAAATTAAACCTTGTAATATTTATTTAAATTTGCACACAATTGTTTTCAGAAATAATTGAATAAACTGAAATTCTTCTCCTGTAAAATCAATTTCGAAAATGCAGAAATATACAAAAATTGCAGTTTGTAATTAAAATGAAGCTAAAATCACTGTCTGACGCGTGTCTCCATGACCTGACCAGTTCTGCCTTTAGCAAATGTTGTTTTGAATTACATGAGTGTGTGAGTGTGTGTATGTGTGTGTGTGTGTGTGTGTGTGTGTGTGTGTGTGTGTGTGTGTGTTTGTATGTGTATGAGGTTACATCACTCACAGCGCTAGAGGGGTCGATTCTGGGCCTCTCCATGGCGATGGTGATGCAGTTGAGAAAGATGATGACAAGAACCACATGGTCAAACATCTTGTGGGTGATGATTTTATTGCATGTCACGCGAAACCTGCAAGACATAATCACAGCAGACATAGAGGGCTGAGTGATGCAAACAGTGATGCAAATAATGTGGATCATAAACTGAAAGTGATTTCAACTAAAGGTAAGTCACTGAGGTTAAATTTGTTGCTTATTGAGACCGATATGACTTTTTTAAAAATATACTGGCGAAACTTTTACTCAACATTTGAAGTGGATTAACACATTTCATCAAAGTTGTCCGAAAACCTTTGAACAGCACCCATTCTTGGTTTTATTAATTTTATCTTATATATGTATACTGTATATACACCACAAAATTAAAACATTATGAGGGTGCTGCTGCTGTCCCATTTTATAATATTAAAATATTTATCTAATATTTATTATTATTATTATTATTATTATTATTATTATTATTATTATTATTATTATTATTACAGTATTTGAGCACATTTTAATTACGACCTGAATGTTGTCTTTTCATAGCCAGGTTAGAAAAAGTTCTAAAGGACTATTGAAAAGCTAAAGGTTAAAAGTTATAAAGTTATCAATTAATATTCATTCATTCATTTTCTTTTCTGCTAAGTCCCTTTATTAATTTAGGGTCGCCACAGCGTAATGAACCGCCAACTTATCCAGCATAAAGATGTCCTTCCAGCTGCAACCCATCACTGGGAAACATCCATACATACTTATTCAAACTCATACACTGCGGACAAATTAGCAAACCCAATTCACCTATAGTGCATGTTTTTTTATTTATAGGGGGAAACCGAAGCACCCAGAGGAAACCCACACGAACACCGGGAAAACTCCACACAGAAATGACAACTGATCCAGCCGAGGCTCGAACCAAAGACCTTCTTACTGTGAGGCCGCATGTTGCTAGCAGTGTTTTACCATACTGTAATATTCATCATATATCCTGTTGCTAGCACAAATCAGCATGTCTTTAACATACAGTAGCTAACATGTTATTAACATACATTAGTTTGCGTATTATAAGTGATAATGAGGGGTAATTGCCACAGATTACTATGTTTCTATTAGATTTAAATATAAGCACACTGTAAACATGTTTTCCCTGCTAAAAAATCCAGCTTAAACCAGCCAACCAGCCTAGGCTGGTTTAAGCTGGATTTTTTAGCAGGGTTTTGTTTATTTGTTTATTAAGATGAATTAACATTTTACTAACAAGTCTCTAACATGAATAAAAATGCAGTTAGCATGTTGCTAACATGCATCTTAGAATGTTAGCATAATGTTGACACTATTTTAATAGGGTGTATCTAGCATGTGTTGGAAATTTTTTATAGCATCTTGCAGACAAGAATTTACATTTCTTGTTTGTTTTATTTGGCTGAGATAAATTAATATTTTATTAACATGTCTCTAATATGAATAAAAATATTGATAGCATGTTGCTAACATCCTTTTACCATTGACTACGTTTACATGGACATCAGAAATCTAATTATTTTCCTTGATCTGATTAAAACAATAATATGGTTAAGGTGTTTACGTGAGTTACTTTTTGAATGTTCCTATCATGATTACATTTTACATGTTATAGCACATATAGAGATTAACATCATTGCATCACCACGCTATCCACTTGTCCACTGGAGTTTCATGTCATTTCAGTTGTTTCTTTTTTAATTTTTTTGCTTTAACTGCAGTTTGGCTTTACTGACTCGATAGGTGCAGAAAATAGTGTCAAACAGCCATGTGTGTATGAAATATCCTGTTGCAAAACACACCAAAAGTCCTACATGTAATGTAATGTAAAGTAATGCGCATTATTTATATATCACATTTATTATGTATGGTCATACACTCAAAGCTCTTTAAAATCATGAAAGGGGTCTCTCCACACAACCACCAGTGTGCAGCATACACTTGGATGATGTGATGGAAGCCACAGAACAGAGCCAGTGCGCTCACCACACACCAGCAGAAAGTGGAGTGGAGAGATAGTGAAAGATCCAATTCGATTGGGAGCCCATGATGAGTAAAGGCCAATGGAGGGAATTTGGCCAGGACACCAGGGTTAGACCCCTAGTCTTTTTTATTTTGTAATGACCACAGAGAGTGAGGACACTTACTGACAGTGAAATCTCCCCTTCACTTTACAGGAGCATTAGGACCCACACAGACCATAGGTTGAGCACCCCCTGCTGGCCTCACTAACACCACTTCCAACAGCAACCTTTTTTTCCCCATGTGGTCTCCTATCCAGGTAATGACCAGACTCAGCCCAATTTAGCTTTAGTGAGTAACCAGTCTTGGGCTGCAGGGTGATATGGCTGTGGCTACATGACGGTAATGGTTTGATTAGGGTGTTAACATGTTTGTACTGCACTTCAATAATGCGACTAAAACAAAATTAATCCGATTTCTGTTTAGTTCGATAATGACCTTAATCGGATTAAATGAATCAAAAATCGCTGTTTACACGGTGGACTCTTAATCAGAGTATTGTTTTAATCAAATTAAAATCAGATTATTGGTGATTATTGTGTAAACATACTCACTGTTACAGTAGCATAATGTTGACACTATGTTGTTAGCATGAAGCTATAGCATGTTACAAAATATTTTAGAGCCGCTTTCAGACAAGAATCTCTTGATTGTTTTGTCATCTGTCTAACATATTTAAAATTTTGCTTTTTCATTCATAACAAAACTGTTATAATGTATATCCCTAATTTCATCTCATATTCCCAGATGCAAGACTACTGCCTACTACCAGTGACAAACCTATGCTGGTTGTGTGTCAGGCATAAAACTTACATGGTGCCTGCATGACTCCTTTTATGAATAAATAGTGCTCAGTTCTCTTTAATGTCTTCAAGACTTGGCCTGATGTTAAAGAATTTATGCTCGGAACAGCAGTGTGTGGGAACAGACGGCAAACCCAGTGCCTCTCTCAGCCCCGATCCCTCATGCTGAGAGTGTGGTCATGCCGAGGTGAAATGGGGAGAAAAGTCTAACGCTGGGTTTGAAACCTAAGGCAAATCCCATGCTGTTTTGTTTCGAAGTTACTCAGTGACTTCACAGGCAACTTCACAGACATGCTTCTGAAAGCATCATAATGTTACATCGAATGATCTGTATATTCACATATTATTCAAATATTCAAAGTAAATAATCATGGCTTACACACTGCAGAATTTTCAGAGGAAAATAATAGGCTTTTGTAAGTAATATGCAAAAATATAATAATAATAATAATAATAATAATAATAATAATAATAATAGGTGGCATGGTGGCTCAGTGGTTAGCACTGTCACCTTACAGCAAGAAGGTTGCTGGTTCAAGTCTCGGCTGGGCCAGTTGGCATTTCTGTGTGGAGTTTGCATGTTCTCCCTGTGTTTGCATTTCTTTCCTCCGGGTGCTACGGTTTCTCCCACAGTCCAAAGACATGCCCTATAGGTGAATTGGGTGAACTAATTGGCTGTAGTGTATGAGTGTGTGTGTGAATGTGAGAGTGTATAGGTGTTTCCCAGTACTGGGTTTCAGCCGGAAGGGTATCCGCTGTGTAAAACATATGCTGGAGTACTTGGCGTTTATTACGCTGTAGCTAAAAAAATATGATTTTGATAGCTCACATTACTAGTTTTGAGGCAAACAATTAATCTGTGCAAATCATTAAGGCAAAAAAAAGTTTGCCTTTCTAATATTTAATCAAAATCTAAAAATGCACTCCCTGTTTTTTTTTTTTTTTTTTGTCAGTTAAATTGTCAGATTACATTTATCTAATTGGGCATGGCATGGTCAGTTTTGACAACAAACAGAAATGGTGGGGAGGAAAAGGACTCTGTTAGCTTGTAATGACTCTTCCCAAGCCCCTTTCTTGATCTTTTTACACGAAATGCCTACTTTACTACATCCGTTTAGCTAGCAGTAGAAAAAAAAAAACAAGCCACGCCCACTTTTTTTTTTTTTTTTTGTTCATTTCTCTAGAAACTGCATCACAATAAGAAAAAATGGTTATAGCTTCTGGTTTGTGTGGACTTCAATTACAAATCCTAAATGTTTTTTAATAAATATTGATTTGTTTACACAGTACTTAAATCTCAATGGAAATGAATTAATATGTAATGTAGGAAAAGGGACATCTTTGCTGACATTTCTCTCTTGCTGCATCCCATCCTAAATAGTATTCAAAAATAGAATTAGTAATGTTATGTCCCAAACCATATGTTGAAAAAAGTGTGCCAAAGATCCAGATGGTTTCCGGTTTCCGGTAAAAAATTAAGTGCAGAAGCGTCCATAATGTAACCGCAATTATTGATCAAAATACGTTGCATGTTGGTCGTGAAATTGATTTGAGCAACATAACGATCTGCTAACGACGAAGTAGTATGTCCCAAAGCTTGCACACTCTTCTGATACAAACTTAAAAGTATATACTTTTCCTTTACAAAAAACTGCATACTTTCAGGGCATAGCATGTCGCTGGTTTGAGTGCCAGCTGGGTCAGTTAGCGTTTCTGTGTGGAGTTTGCATGTTCTCCTCGCATTCGTGTGGGTTTCCTCTGGGTGCTTCGATATCTCCCACAATAGAAAGACATGTGGTAAAGGTGAATTGAATAAACTAAATTGGTTGTAGTGTGTAGGGTGTTTCCCAGCTGCAAGGGCCTCTGCTGCATATTGTAAAGCATATGCTGAATAAGTTGGCAGTTCATTCCGCTGTGGCAACCTCTGATCAATTAAAAACTAAGCTGAAGGAAAATGAATGAATTAAATAACACTTATAGTATAAAAAATAGTATATCCTTAAACAATCTAACTGACCAGATTATAGATACAGACTTGCCCTTCTATATATCATCATCAGGATTTAAATACTTAGAAATTAATATTTCCTGTTCATACAGAGATCTTCATTAATTAATTCATTTCATTCATTTTCTTGTTGGCTTAGTGCCTTTATTAATCCGGGGTCACCACAGCGGAATGAACCGCCAACTTATCCAGCAAGTTTTTATGCAGCGGATGCCCTTCCACCCGCAAACCATC